TCACAGTGTTCAACTTGGAAATATAAAATCTGAAAAACAGTTAGTCACAGCGGGAGTGCCACAGGGATCAATTTTAGGCCCAATTCTTTTCTTATTTTACATCAATGATATCCCATTATTTATAGAGAAATCAAGCATTGACTTATTTGCGGATGACGCCACTCTTCACTTTTCTGACAGTAATGTTTCTTCTATTCAAAATATGTTATCTTCGGACATAAGAAATATAGAAAGATGGTGTTCTCAGAATCAGATGATTTTGAATACAAGTAAAACAAAATGCATGTTGATAGGCACACATCAGAGACGATCAAAACTGACGAACCAAAATCTAAATTTACAAATTTCAGATCATTTTCTTGAGAGTGTCACACATGAAAAACTACTTGGAATTCATATAGATAATTCACTTAATTTTAATACACATGTCGATGCTGTTTGTAAATCCGTATCTGCAAAGATATCTGTATTACGAAAAATTAAGAAATATCTTCCATTAAACACAAGAAAGTTATTCTATAATGCTTATATACTGCCATCAATTGAATGCTGTTTAACAGTTTGGGGTAATGCATCAGCCTCCAGCCTCGAGAGGATTCATAAGTTACAGAAGCGGGCAGCGCGCTGTATCTTAGATGCTGCTTATGACTCTCCATCAAAAGCCTTATTTGAAAAACTTGATTGGCTCTCAGTACATGAGCAATTGACTGTAAATAAGTTAGTATTATTGTATAAAACGCTTTACGGTGCATGTCCATATTACCTATTTGAAATGTTCAATTACCAGTCATCCAATGCATACAATCTAAGATCTGAATCTAATTTTGACTTGTGTGTTCCAAAGCACAAAACCAAAATATTTCAAAATTCTTTTCAATATTCGGGTGCAGTATTGTGGAACAATTTACCTTTAAATGTAAGAATGTCTCCATCACTTCAAAGTTTTAAAATCAAGTCAAGAAAATTTATAATAGACCAACGTTCTACTTAAATTCTTATATAATTGTATATTTGTAAACTGTATTATTAATGAAATGATGCATGTTTTATTATTGTATGTTGTGTCATATACATGTATAACATTGTATTATTATTATTTATTATTATTATTATTATTATTATTATATTATAACTTAAATATATTGAATGTAATATTTATCATTGTGTATTATATATATTTTTTTATAGAGGGCCTCAAGGAAGAATAGTGCTTGCACTAATTGAGTCACCCTCTTTAATGCCTATGATCCAAATATATATATTCATGATGAAGAAAGGTGCACCTAGCAAAATGGTTATTTTTTATGTCCCAGCCCTTCCCTGGGTTGGGGTGAGGGGGGGGGGGTACAAAGTCTGAAAATAAATAAATGCTTTGAAATTTGCTCTTTGGTGTTAATCAACCATTTTATAATAAAATTTGCAACATTTTGAAATATGTGGCCCCAGGATCAGTGGTTCCTTTGGGATGAGATGTACAACTGGTTATAAAGTGGAAGTGCATTTTCTCTTAATGTTACTCTGATCTACCTCTGGGTATTAAGTAAATAGAGTTAGCATGCTAAGTCTAAATTATTATAAGCAATGGTACCTATTTCAAAATTGTGAATTGCGAATTCCATTGCCTCTGGTTTAAAACATGAACCAAATTTAATTGTTTGAAAGTTGTTGCACAATTCTCAGGTGACCTATAAGGCCCGTGGGCCTCTTGTTTGCATAACAGGATCTGTAGCGTTGTGGTCAAAAACAAATATATAAAACCATAACGCTACAAATCTGCAGCTAGAATTGCAGCATCTGAAACCTTGTCTGGTACAATGACACATCAGAAGCATCTTGCATGCATTTCTGACTAATGTAGGGCATCCTGGGACGCTGACGCGAATACCAAGGATATCACATAAGGTCCCCCAAACTTCGGTTGCATGAGCTACAGTAAAATACACTACTGTATACAGGGTTATTTTCGCACCGTCTTATTTTCGCCCTTTCACAATTACAAACAATTTTGCCCCGTTTCAAATTCGCCAAGTCATGGTTTTCTTTAAGAAATTGTACTGTATTTGAATTCGCCCCGTTTTAAATTCGCCCAAATGAGGATAGGGCGAAAGGGGCGAAAATGAAACGGGGGCGAAATTTCCCCTATATACAGTATATCTTTTCAAGTTTGTTAGTACGGGAATTAATATTGCAGTTATAGAAAAAATAACCCGCTTTCGCTATTTAATATGCATTTTTTCTGCAAAAGCTACAACATTAATTCTTGTACAAACAAAGAAAGCATATGATTTATATATACTGAGAGGAAAAAGAAACGCAGGGTAGCATAATTTTCGATAAAAATTTGACCACATGAATGAAAATTGGTTAGAAGGGCAATTAAATTACTGTGCATCACAATCAGTATTCAGAATTACTCAACCGTGAAATTTATGACGTCACGTAGGGAAAACGCTAAAAAACCCAAAACACGTGCAATTTGATAACGACGAGTTTGTCAACAAATCTTGTTGCATTATTTGATGCATATGAGGTATGCAGATCGTTTTTCAGTATTAAGAGACTTTGTGAATTGATTGCAATCTTGGCACAGTTTACGGAAGTTCAATGGGGTCTTATTTACGAATTGCCCAATTAATGAAAAAGGCAACAATGGTTAACTTGGCAGTTTCTTGTAAATTTTTCCCCATAAAACTTGTTACCCGTTGTCAGAGAGGGCCTGGAGTGGTTTTCAGTCAACCGTGACGATGACGTCTACGCGAAACAGAGCCATGTTACGAGCAGGTTATTCGTTCTGCCATCTCTTAAATCGCCACCTTACTACCACAAAAACAGCCATTTATAGAGAAGATGATTATAATTATTACATTCGTACGAAATTTGAAAGAAAACAATTCCGCAATTTGGTTTTTTGAGCCAGTCAACTTACAGGTGTATTCCTCTCACTGGCGCATGCGCATGCCGTTGGACTTAATTTTTTTGCGTGGTTACCCATGCTAAATATAGCTATGGTTTGAAAGATAAAAACTTTGATGAAATTTCATGCAAAGGAGAAATAAGACTCTGACAAATGCGCGAGATAGACTTTGAAGATAATGGGAGTTTTCGATTTTCACTTTTAGGGGGTATCGTCATTTGAGCTTCAATAACTCATGAATAATAAGACAAAATCATATGAAAATTTGATTATATCTTTTTGAAAGATGATTTTAAAAGGTAGATAGGAAAACTAAAAAGTATTTTGAGAAAAACAAATTTAATTCACCTCAAAAGTTTACCCTGCGTTTCTTTTTCCTTTCAGTATATGTTGAAAGTTCAAGATGCTGAAAATGTTAAATGTTACCATAATGCACGACAGACGATGAAAACTGAAAGCTATTGTCTACTTGTGTGACTCGGGTAACTTAAAGTTAAAATTAAAACAGAAAGATATGGAGACAACGCACAATATTCAATATCAAAGTCCATAAAACAATACATAACAGGAGCAGAACAAACACAGCCCCTTAAACACCAGAGGTGAGATCAGGTGTCATGGAGGAGTGAGCATCCCCTGTCGACTGGTCAAACAGACTGAAGAACGAAAAATTCTAATAAAATCATGAAAACTTAGATATTTAATAAGTTGCCATAAAAATATTGTCAAAACACCTCCATATCTTGAAAATGGTTCAACAAGTTTTTGCTCAAGTACAGTGTACCATTAAATAAGGTTTTCAGCATAGTCAACATTTAAACCAATTGTCCTTGCAATATGTGTTAATGCATCGAAACAAAATACTTGAATGAAAACTCATTTTAACAGTGGTTCATAAACAGTTATTTTAATTAAATTCCCACAACCCCATGTCCTGTATATTGTAAAAAAAATCATATACACATTAGTTTAATTACATGTATCATATCCAATATGTAAAATCAATTTGTTTAGACTGTAAATTTGATGTAGCTTCACTTTGAATATTCTACACAGAATTCTTAATTTAATAAGCTCAATTTGCTGCATCTTTCTTTTCATGCTTCAATATGTTTTTGATTTCTTGCACTTCTGACACGACGTCTTGCACATTTGACATATCTTCACTATTTCATACTGACTTTCCATTTTAACCTTTTCTATTATAACGTCTTCATCTTCCTCTTTTAAGGTCAGTTTTTTAAATGGAATTAAGATTATCTAAATACTTCTCCCCTGTGAAGTTTTCCAATCTTTGGCAGATACCTGACATCGTTAACCAAGTGTCATCAAACTCTGTCTGCGGGTGGAGGCTGAGCTCACATGTGCAGTCAAAGAGTTTCGGATTATCCTGATTCGCTCTACATCATCACCCACTTTTATCTCCCCTGGTGAAGGCATACTGTTACCTCCCCATTTTCCTTTTCGTGGCTTAGGGATCTTTGTACAAATGTTTCTGATCAACATATAGATTAATGAAATATCAAAATTCTTATATCCAGAGCTTGTAGCTGTTTTCAAGAGATCTTCTTGATCTAAGAATAATGTTTTATAAATTAATGACATCTCCACTGTGTTATAAAGAAGGAAAGTGTGTATTTCCCACTCAAGCAAATCTCTGTATGCCTGATTTAACACGTCGTTTGTTGGCATTTCCAGAATTTGCAAATCTTGATCGGTCTGCAAGTTTTGGAATAATTATCCAGCCCCCCCCAGAGATGATGATGAAAATGTTTAAAATATCTCAAAATTGTATTGAATGCCGAGTTCTCCAAACACCAAAATGAATTAAAAGTCTTTCTAACTAGGTCTCAAAATTAAAATCCAACGACCCAATGTCTTGTATTTTTACAAAAATCAGTAAATGTTAATATAATAAAAATCATATATAAAATCATTTTTCTTTGTTTGTGATGTCAATATAGTTTAATTAAGTTATAAAAACACAATCCAAACCAAAAAAAGGAAAATCAAAATTCCTTTTTTAAACCCAACATTTCAAATCTTAAGCCATTTTAGGCTAAAACATCATTAAATGCAGTTCCTTCAGTCTTTTTTTGCAATAGAAAAACCCGAAAAATTCAAACTTTGCGATCCTTTATTCTTTAAATTGTGAGGAACATTCTTCTCCCAGTTCCAAATGAACTCTACATGTACCTGAATCTTTAGCATGAAAAAAACCTTGAGGAACGTTCCTCTCTCAATTTCAAATGAACTCAATATATACAAGAATCTTTAACAAAAAATTTGCAAGGAACATCCTCTCCCAATTTCAAGTGAACTCAATACATGCAATATATACATGAATCTTGAACAAAAACATCTTGCAAAGAACGTTCCTCTCCCAATTTCAAGTAAACTCAATATATACATGAATCTTTAACAAAAACCTGCGAGGAACATACGTTCCTCTCCCAATTACAAGTGAACTCATTATATACATGAATCTTTAACAAAAAATCTTGCGAGGACTGTTCCTCTCCCAATTTCAAATGCATGAATCATGTTAATGGATAAACATAAATAACAAAAAATAAATATGACATTTTGACATTAAATGTGTCATTCATCAAATTTCATTTCTTTGCATAACATATACAAAGTACAATTCATTTATAAGATTGACTTTAAAAACTTCACATGGATGTCAATCCAGTATTTGTTTGTAATAAGTCATTGTTGGTTCTTAAAGCTATGAGCAAAGGGTATTGTTATTTCAGTTAGCGCAAGAAATGTAAGATTACAAAATACAAGTTAATAAAACACACTGCAGATTGCACTGGCAAAAATGAAACTATGTAGTTCTAATGGTAGCGGAGACCAATACTGATGGTCCCAATACTATTGTCACTACTTATTAGAAGCATATTGACATAGAATTTCTTATGTCTTAATTTTTAAATATTTTCTTTAGAGATAAGCTAAAGAAAATACAGTGTATTTAAAAATTAAGACATAAGAAATTCTAAACTTAAAACTACATGCCACCCTATTCCTAGGGATGCTATCTGGAGCACACCCTTCAAAGTCTGGATTGGGTATCCAACTGGTGATGTAGCTCCTCTGCAGCCATGACATTTTAATCTTTGCTTTAGCAACTTCATTTGTCAAGGCCAACCATGGCTCTCCATCCACAACATCTTTTTGGCGAATTGGTGTAATGGCCACAACCTTGCCTACGTCTAGGTCCTTCTGTCCCTCCTTTAAACTCGATCGATGCATCCTTGGCTATTTTTTTCATCACTGGTAAAGTATCTTCTCGACATCCACTGCTTTATAAATAAAAAAACAAGAGGCCTAAGGGCCTTGAATCGCTCTTCTGATAAATTGTACATCTATCACTTGTATTAGAATTTTCCAACTCTTTAAGTATCTTAAGACCAAAAATACATCAACTTACAAAGTTTGATAATATTTAGCCAGTTAAGACTGAAGATATTTTAATATAATTATCAAATACCATAAGTAGATCAAAGTGATCTACCTTTTCATTGGAATTGTTTGAAAATTCAAAGCCATTTAGTTCCAGAGATAATTAAATAAAGCCATCTAATGTCAAAAGTAGGTCACCATGACCTACTTTTTGGACGACGTTATCCAAAAATCCAAGATGCCTAAACTGAGAAAATTTGCTGATTCTAAGCCATTAAGTACCTGAGATATTCAAAAGTAGGTCATTGTGACCTACTTTTTGGTTGTCACTCTCCGAAAACCCAAGATGCATCATCTGACAAAGTTTGATGATTTAAGTTCACAGTGACCTCCTTCTTGTTGGACATTTAGTGAAACCGTAAGATGCCTTAACTGACAAAGTTTGATGATTCCGAGCCAATAAGTACCAGATATAATCAAATATAGCCAAAAAATGTCAAAAGTACGTCACAGTGACCTACTTTTTGGTTGACGTTCTCCGAAAACCCAAGGTGTCTAAACTGACAAAGTTTGATGATTCTAAGCTAATATCTACCCGAGATATTCAAAAGTAGGTCACCATGACCTATTTTTTAGTCGTCACTCCCCAAAAACCCAAGATGCATCATCTTACAATGATTTTAGGTCAATAAAATTAAGAGATACTTAATTATAGCCTTATAATGTCAAAAATTTTATTAAATGTAAATTTAGGTCAACTTTGAAGTGACTTTGAGACCACGCCCTTTGACCCAGGGTCATGCCTTGAACAATTTTTTATCTTCAACATATCCTGATCCTTGTATGTAAGTTTGGTGAAAATCTGCCTGGTGGTTATTACAAAAATCAGTAAATGTTAATAAAATAAAAATCATATAAAATCATTATTGTTTGATTGTGATGCCAATATAGTTTAATTAAGTTATAAAAGTATTTCTAACAGCGTTCTACGTGTAGTAATCTTAACCTTAATTCGAAGCATCTTTTGTTTCAGGCTTTGATATTGTCTTTTTAATTTCTTGTACATCTGACATCACCGCCTTAATCATTTCATACTGACTTTCCATTTTAACTTTTTCTATAATAGCATCTTCCTCTTCCTCCTTTAAAGTCAATTTTTGAATGATATTAAGATCATCTAAGTACTTCTTTCCAGTGAAGGTTTCCAGTCTTCTGCAGATATCCAACATCGTTAACCAGGTGTCATCGAATTCTGTCTGCGGGGTGGAGGCTGAGCTCACGTGTGCAGTCAGAGAGTTTCGGATTATCCTGATTCGCTCCACATCATCACCCACCCTTATCTCTCCTGCTGTAGGCATACTGTTTCCTCCCCATTTTCCTTTTGTTGGCTTAGGGATCTTTGAACAAACGTTTCTGATCAACATATAGATTAATGAAATATCAAAATTCATATATCCAGAGTTTATAGCTCTTTTCAAGAGATCTTCTTGATCTGAGCGTAATGTTTTATAAATTGATGATGTCTTTACTTTGTTGTAAAGAAGGGTAGGGTGTATTTCCCACTCAAGCACATCTCGATATGCTTGATTTAACACGTCGTTTGTTGCCATTCCGAGTTTTGCGAATCTAGATCGGTCTGCCAGAAGTTTTCCAGTGCTGGAATTTTTCGCCTCTTTCTGAAAAAAATGAACCTGAATTTATTACGCAAACTTAAATAAAATTTTAGGTCTTTACAAAGAGAAAAAAAAGCTCCCAAATAAAATAAAAAAATTAAATTTTATATTTTTTTCTTAAAGGCCTGTACGAATATACAAATGAACAGATAAGGTTATTCTTTCATACATGCTCTGATACTAGTAAACTATTTGTTCATGAAGGCTGGTGGGAGGAGGTATAAAGGTAGAAAGAGGATTACCTTTTCCCAGAAAATAAGAGTCCTTTGTACATTTATCACATGTTTCTCTTGAATTCGACACTTGCATTGTGTTTCTTCAGCCTTAATTTTGGAGAGCTCACTTGCAAGGGTAAACGATATATCTTTCTCATTACAAATAATGTTTTGACATTTGAATCCTCTATGGAATATTTTTTCCACAAGAAATGTTTCCGTCAATTTTCCTAAGGCCTGTTCAATGCAGTCTCCAATTTCATTTGATACGCCTTTGTCTACCGCTAAACGGCTGTGACGTAGCACTTGCAACTGAATATCATCGTTACATATGCCTACAACAACAGTGTGTTCTTTGTGATCAAACACTGCCGCTGTTTGATAAAGACATAAATCTCCTTCATTATCATCGTCTTTAGCAACACTCCATCCAAGAGAACTTATGCAAAATGCTACCAGTCTGTAGAACACAAACATAGCAAAGGAAGTGAATCGGAAGCACAAAATGGATGAGCATTCCCACATTTCCTCGCAAAAGTCAGCTTTAAACTGTTTTTTGTTCATACTTGGGACATACCATGACATGTTACCGAAAGTCTCCAAAGATACAAGCATTTGAAGCTTCTCCATGTAAGACATAATTTCATTTTTGTGTTCCAGGTATGAAGGTTCATCTTTCCACAGTGCATCTACCACTTTGTCTTTGAGTTCCCCCGTTTTGTTGAATGATTTCCATTCTTTGATTAATCTCCTTTTACAATCTTTATTGATGTGGTTTTCATCAGCGATTATCTTGCTGAATGCATTAGCAAACCACTGAATGTCCAGTATTGCATGTTCCCTTAATTTCCCTTCTTTAAAATACAAAAGAAGTCCATTATCATGGAAGCACTTCAAAAACTTAGACATTTCCTCATCACTTTTAATTTGGTATTCTTCAGGAAGGGATGAGTTGAGCCTTCTTATTTCATCAAGGGACAAAACCTTCCACCCTCCTTCATATAATAATTGTTCCATTAGAGCCCACGAAGAAGGCATTTCAATTTTTGTATTGACCTCATCGGCAAATAGTTGGACTACAGACTTTTTAATTGATTCCAGCGTTTCCGTTGTTTTCTCATTAAGTTCCAATAGACCCACAGAGTATTCCCGATCATTCAGAGACTCGCTTAACCAATCTCTGTCCTCGTCTGGTACAGCTTTCCAAAACTCCCCCAAATACTTCTCTATTTCCTGAAAAGGATAACAAAATAATGGAGTGTTAAGGTGACATTAAACGCATGTTAGGAAGATGAGCAATCCTTAATAATAACATTTATGCATGTACGACATGGTATGACTTTAACTAACTCAGAAACAGACTTATTTCTAAAAGGTGATACATTGTATCACCAAAAAATGTATGATTCAGAAACAGACTTATCTCTAAAAGGTGATATCACCAAAAAAAGGTATGGCTAAATGCACCAGGTACAGTTTCAGAGGTTGCAAAGTTACTGTTTGCAAACCAGTTGTTCAGGATAGTTCATGAAATTGTGTGACGGTAAATGTAACTGGAGAGAACGTGCATGCATCAGGTTTAATCGTTTGTTGTCTTAAATGTGCATGATGGTGCTGTTACAATCGTTTTTAAAGGAATAGAAATTGTAAATTTTTAGCTCACCTGAGCCGAAGGCTCAAGTGAGCTTTCCAGACAACATTGTGTCCGTCGTCCGTCCATCCATCTGTCTGTCCGTAAACTTTTCACATTTTAGTCTTCTTCTCAAGAACCACTAGGCCAATTTTGACCAAACTTGGTACAAAGCATGCTTGGGTTAAGGGAAATTTAAATTGTTAAAATGAAGGACCAAATCCCTTCACAAGGGGAGATAATCAAGAAAAGACAAAAATAGGGTGGGGTCATTAAAAAATCTTCTTCTCAAGAACCACTGGGCCAGAAAAGCTGAAACATGTGGATGCATCCTGGGGTAGTGTAGATTCTAAATTGCTCAAATCATGACCCCCGGGGATTGGGCGGGGCAACAATGGGGAATAGATGTTTTAGAGGTACGTGTTTGCTCTGCTCCTATTTTATATTGTTTTATGGACTTTGATATTGAATATTGTTCGTTATCTTCATATCCTTCCTGTATCATATTCAAGACGATATTTTATAACGACCTCACATACTTGATATGCTTTAGATTCCCCAACAGTAAAAAAAATTGAAATCATCCTATTTCTGCTGAAGACGTCAATCAGTAGATGGCAATGGTCATCTTTTTCTTTACTTACTACGGCTCTTACAGTAAATAAAAATTTTAATATTTTTTTCTTCTTTGTGTGTAAATTGTTATACCATTCTTTGTCCTTAAAATATTAACTTCCTTTTCTTTCATACCAATATATAAATCAGTAAATCGATTTTCCACCCTAGTCTTTAAGGAACATTCAAAAGTTAGGTTTTTACCCAAACAGTAAGAAACTAACAATTTTTCTATTAAAACTCACAATTTTAAATCTGTCCATCTCCTTATTTTATATGAAAATATGAGTATTTACTAACAGTACATAAATCTTTTACTTACGTGTGTAGATTAACTTATATGTAAATTTGCACACATAAGCAAATTTTCGTGGTATGAATGGGGTATAAGAAGAAATAATATGCATCCAGATTCCTTGTTTTTTATGCCAAAATAGATGCAGAGAGAAAAGGAATGCACATTTTATGTCAATTTGTAGTCAATGTGTGAAAAATCAATCACGTCAAAAAATGACGTTGATCATGTTTTGTAGATTTTTTAAAAACTCCAAAACGCAAAATATGCTGGCACAATCAATCAAGGATTTCCGCCATTGTATAAATTCATTTGCAAAAGTATATGCATTGAAAGCCGATGTTCATGGCATTGTTAAGTCATATAAATAAAACTGATTGAAGTCCTAGCTCAGCTCCAAGGAATCTCATCAAAATAAGTATATGAAGTAGAAGACACAAACATTGAAAAATAAAAACGTTGTTGGACGTCATAAAACTTAAAGGCGAGTGATGATGTAATGTCGTTTTTATTTTATAATAATTTTGGAAATAATAATCGTATCAAGCTAAAATTTTCAACATTTCTTTATTTTGTGTTGTTTTACGATTCATATAAATTTTGTAGCTCAAACTACAAAGTACTTATAGCCTCAATCCACAAACTTTTTGATAAACCCTCGTACTCAAGATATTACATAAAAGTGGAGTATGCTAACAAAACATGAATTCTCTATCTCATAAAGTTCAAAAGTTATAGCACAGGTTCAAAAAGACATATTCAGCATAAGGTCAAAGTAACGGTCATTTGAAAGAGCGTAATTAGCTGAATATTCATATCAAATTAGAAATATGAAGTCTCTACCTCTCCCGTTAAAAATAAAATGGAAAAGGCTGAAGTTTACAACAGTCAGACACAGACAAACAAACAGGACAAAAATAATGTGGCCCCAATCTATGGATGCGGACACATAAAAACTCTCCTTTTAAAATCAACCCTGCCTTGTCTTGAAATTTGCAAAAAAAAATATGAAAATATAAAAATTTATAATGAAAAGAACAAGAGGCCCATGGGCCACATCGCTCACCTGAGAAGCTTTGGCCATTCTGTTCTTTACTAGATTTACCCCTTGTAATACATATTGTGACCCCACCCTACCCCACTGATCATAATTTAGACAATTTGAAATCTACACTACCCCAGGATGCTTCCATATATAAGTTTCAGCTTTTCTGGCCCAGTTGTTATTAAGAAGATTTTCAAAGCTTTTTCCTATATATTTCTATGTAAAACTTTAATTCCCCATTGTGTCCCCGCCAATCCCCAGGGGTCATGATTTGAACAATTTAGAATCTACACTACCCCAGGATGCTTCCATATAAGTTTCAGCTTTTCAGGCACAGTGGTTCTTGAGAAGAAGATTTTCAAAGATGTTTCCTATATATTTCTATGTAAAACTTTGATTCCCCATTGTGGCCCCGCCCAACCCCCGGGGGTCATGATTTGTATAATTTAAAATCTACACTACCCAAGGATGCTTCAATATAAGTTTCAGCTTTTCTGGCACAGTGGTTCTTGAGAAGAAGATTTTCAAAGATTTTTCCTATATATTTCTATGTAAAACTTTAATTCCCCATTGTGGCCCCGCCCAATCCCCAGGGGTCATGATTTGAACAATTTAGAATCTACACTACCCCAGGATGCTTCCACATAAGTTTCAGCTTTACTGGCCCAGTGGTTCTTGAGAAGAAGATTTTCAAAGATGTTTCCTATATATTTCTATGTAAAACTTTGATTCCCCATTGTGGCCCCGCCAAATCCCCAGGGGTCATGATTTGAACAATTTAGAATCTACACTATCCCAGGATGCTTCCACATAAGTTTCAGCTTTTCTGGCACAGTGGTTCTTGAGAAGAAGATTTTCAAAGCTTTTTCCTATATATTTCTATGTAAAACTTTGATTCCCCATTGTGGCCCCGCCCAATCACCGGGGGTTATGATTTGAACAATTTAGAATCTACACTATCCCAAGATGCTTCCACATAAGTTTCAGCTTTTCTGGCCCAGTGGTTCTTGAGAAGAAGATTTTCAAAGATTTTTCCTATACATTTCTATGTAAAACTTTGATTCCCCATTGTGGCCCCGCCCAATCCCCGGGGGTCATGATTTGAACAATTTAGAATCTACACTACCCCAGGATGCTTTCACATAAGTTTCAGCTTTTCTGGCCCAGTGGTTCTTGAGAAGAAGATTTTTTAATGACCCCACCCTATTTTTGTCTTTTCTTGATTATCTCCCCTTGCGAGGGGATATGTCCCTTCATTTTAACAATTTAAATTCCCCTTTACCCAAGGATGCTTTGTACCAAGTTTGGTCAAAATTGGCCCAGTGGTTCTTGAGAAGAAGTCGAAAATGTGAAAAGTTTACGGACAGACGGACAGACGGACGGACGGACGGACGGACGACGGACACAATGTGATCAGAAAAGCTCACTTGAGCCTTCGGCTCAGGTGAGCTAAAAATGATTTCACAAGTGCTTTCAGATCACATGAAATAAAATTATGATAGCCTAAAAACTTACATCTCTAGATTTTCTTTCTGTATGTGTAACAACAAGAAGCAAAGGTGACTTTTTGCCTCCAAATGTCTTGATTGAGGTTATCCAAAACTTCAGATAATCTACAAGAAAATGACTTCATTATAAATAGGAACTAGTGCTTCTCTGATGAGACTGAAGCTCTACTGGTGTGTACTCAGTGTACCTGAGAAATGTATACTTGTATACCAAGTCTTATTGAAACTGCAAAAAAGGGGGGGGGGATTTTAAAGAGAATTCCAGAGATTTTTTTAAAGGAGAATGAACAATAAAATGATGTGACAAATTGGATTGTTTTGTACACTTCAGATACTTTGAATTTATTCAACACCTGTGTCACATTAAAATCTCTATTTATTTAAATTGCTACATTTGAACACGCAGGCAAAATTCTATTACCCTGTGGTGAGCCTCCGTTTTCCACTATGTACATATTTAACCCTTTTTTAAGCCTCAGATCACTGGACCTTGAAAGTAAGTTTGAGTCCGTGCGGCAGTTGGACACGGCAGTCCTGATAGAGAAGGACATTCCTATACTTCTCTAGATCTTGGTACATTTTGTGCAATAAAATAGTCATGGCAGACTTCACCATAGTTTAGCCGTTATTGTCAATATGTAGTGTCCTACTTTTCTGAGGTAAGCCTTGTTTTTATTGTTCATTGAAATGTAAATATCTTAAAACAACCAGTTTCGGAATTTCTCAACAAAGTCAGCCTTAACTGTTTTGCTATTTGAGATTTATTATCTTTCATATTTCTTTATACGTTATTTATATGTACAGTTAGTCAAAAGTGTTCGAGTAATGATTGTACGGTGTCCCGTTCGTGTCTTTTAGTATGTCTATTGTTCTGTTATATTTGTAACAAATATAAAGTAAAGGTATAATAGTGTAGTTAAGCATCTTAATGCTAATTGTACGCCATATGTACATGTGTATGCACAGCTTTAACTTACAATGTGTAAAGTATATGTCTACCTTGACATTATATTGTGCATGCGTAATTAACAGGTCCTCATCCTGTGTGTGTAGATGTCCCTGTAGCAGACACGGCCACATCTGAAGTCTTGAGCACAAGACGTTTACCTTTGCATTGTGTGTGTATGTGTGTGTAGGCCTCCACGACAGTAGGACAGGAGGAAAGATTTCCATACCAGTCCGGAGACCAATTGTATCCGTATTAAGGACACCCGTGCGCGTCATCGCCCAGCTGAACACTGACAGTTATCCAGTTTATTTTGTATATTTTGATCTATTAAATGTAATGTTTAAAATTTAAAGAAAATTTTGTTGTAAAATAATCAATTAGAAGGGCAGTTTGGATCAGCATCCCATAAGCTTGGTCATTAACATGACAACCTGTTGAACTTTCAGTAAAAGAGAGCATGTGTCACGTTTTTTGTGATAAATATTTAAGCAGAACACATTTTCCTGTTGAGATTCGAAGGAAAGAAAACCAGCAGTCTGTGATAAGACTGACACTACCCCAGGATGCTTCTACCAAAGTTTCAGCTTTCCTGACCCTCTGGTTCTTGAAAAGAAGATTTTTCCTATATATTTCTATATAAAAATCAGATTCCCTAGTGTGGCCCCGCCCTACCCGGGGGTCATGATTTTAACAATTTATAATCTACACTACCCCAGGATGATTTCACATATGTTTCAGCTATCCTCACCCACTGGTTCTTAAGAAGATTTTTAAAGTTTATTCCTAATATGTATTTCTATGTAAAACTTCGATTTCCTACTCTGGCCCCGCCCTACCCCTGGGGGTCAGGATTTTAACAATTAAGATTCTACACTACCCAAAGATGCTTTAACATAAGTTTCAGCTTTTCTGCCCCACTGGTTCTTGAGAAGAAGATTTTTAAAGATTTTTCCTATATATTTCTATGTAAAACTTGGATTTCCTATTGTGGCCCCGCCCTACCCCCAGGGGTATGATTTTTACAATTTAGATTCCTCACTACCCCAAGATACTTCCAAATTAATTTCAGCTTTTCTGGCCCACTGGTTCTTGAGAAGAAGATTTTTAAATTTCCTATATACACCTATGTAAAACTTTGATATGCCACTTTGGCCCCACCCTACCCCCGGGGGTCATGATGTGAACAAACTTGAATCTATCTACACTACATGTACCTGAGGATGATTGCACATGAGTTTAATAAAAGATTTTTCCTATATATTTCTATGTAAAATGTGGATTTCCTATTGTGGCCCCGCCCTACCCCCTGGGGGTCTTGATTTTTACAATTTAGTATCTTCTCTACCCCAGTATGCTTCCATATCATTTTCAGCTTTACTGGCCCACTGGTTCTTGAAAAGAAGATTTTTAAAGATCTTTCCTATATATTTCTATGTAAAACTTGGATTCCCTATTGTGGCCCCGCCCTACCCCTGGGGATCATGATTTTTACAATTTAGAATCTACACTATCCCAGGATGCTTCTACATAAGTTTCAGCTTTTCTGCCCCACTGGTTCTTGAGAAGAAGATTTTTAAAGATTTTTCCTAGATATATTTCTATGTAAAACATGGATTTCCTATTGTGGCCACGCCCTTCCCCCAGGGGTATGATTTTTACAATTTAGATTCTTCACTACCCCAAGATACTTCCAAATTAATTTCAGCTTTTCTGGCCCACTGGTTCTTGAGAAGAAGATTTTTAAATTTCTTATATACACCTATGTAAAACTTTGATATGCCACTTTGGCCCCACCCTACCCCCGGGGGTCATGATGTGAACAAACTTGAATCTATCTACACTACATGTACCTGAGGATGATTGCACATGAGTTTCATAAAAGATTTTTCCTATATATTTCTATGTAAAATGTGGATTTCCTATTGTGGCCCCGCCCTACCCCCCGGGGGTCATGATTTTTACAATTTAGTATCTTCTCTACCCCAGTATGTTTCCATATCATTTTCAGCTTTACTGGCCCACTGGTTCTTGAAAAGAAGATTTTTAAAGATCTTTCCTATATATTTCTATGTAAAACTTGGATTCCCTATTGTGGCCCCGCTCTACCCCTGGGGATCATGATTTTTACAATTTAGAATCTACACTATCCCAGGATGCTTCTACATAAGTTTCAGCTTTCCTGCCCCACTGGTTCTTGAGAAGAAGATTTTTAAAGATTTTTCCTAGATATATTTCTATGTAAAACTTGGATTTCCTATTGTGGCCCTGCCCTACCCCTAGGGGTCATGATTTTAACAATTTAATATCTACACTACCCCAGGATGCTTCCATATAAGTTTCAGCTTTCCTGGCCCAGTGGTTCTTGAGAAGAAGATTTTAAAGTATTTGTTCTATATATTTCTATGTAAAACTTGGATTTCCTATTGTGGCCCCGCCCTGCCCCCGGGGGTCATGATTTTAACAATTTAAAATCTACACTACCCAAGGATGCTTCCACTAAAGTTTCAGCTTTCCTGGCCCGGTGGTTCTTAAGAAGAAGATTTTTTAATGATCCCACCCTATTTTTGTCTTTTCTTGATTATCTCCCCTTGGAAAGGGACCTGGCCCTTTATTTTAATAATTTAAACTCCTCATCCCCCAAGGATGCTTTGTACCAAATTTGGTTAAAATTGGCCCAGTGGTTCTTGAGAAGAAGTTGAAAATGTGAAAAGTTTACAGACGGACGGACGGACTACGGACAAAATGTGATCAGAAAAACTCACTTGAGCCTTCGGCTCAGGTGAGCTAAAAATAGACGGACAGACGTACGACATACAAAAATTGATAAGAAAAGCTCACTTGAGCCTTCGGCTCAGGTGAGATAAAAAGTGTAATACAGTATATTTCAATAGAAAATTTATTATGCATAGCTAACCAATGTATTTGAACCCTTGTTTAATGGATCACTAAATTCCAACTGCCTCAAGATATGTACGAGAATTATTTTTTTTTATCTAGCAAAGAGTCTTCCCGATAGAAGTCTATGATTGTTTAAAAACTTTTACCTTTGTAAGTCCACACTGAGAAGATTGATCCTTCTTGATTATCTTTCTCCCTATCAACAACATCCTCAAACTTCTTAGTCATGTCCAACACAAGGATAAAGAAGGCCTTTGGTGTTACGTAAATTTGGTGACAGGCATAATACGCTAACTGACCAGCAAAATCCAGCATGCTAACAGTTGGTAATTTTTCTTTATCAGACAAGATTTTCTGAAAAATTTTCTCTTTCACCTTGGCTGTAGCTTTTGAGGACAGAGCACTGGCCATTATATCTACTGAATTATCTTCTTTTCTGCGTTTGGTTGGTGGGCTAGAAAACTCTACTTTCTCTTCTTTCTTTTCTTCTTGGCTATAAATTACTTCCGTGCCTTTATTTATATTTTTCTGTTCCAAATTGTCTTTATTTTCATTTGAATCAGAACTGTCACTTGCACTGCTCGTGTCTGGTTTCAAATCTGCAGAGTGTATTTTTATGAATGTCCTTAATGTAGAGTCATCATCAGCAACTGTTAAATAAGAAAATAATTTCCCGTTTGAAAACACATTTAATTTCAACATTTTTTTTTAAATTAGGAAAACATGAGGCCCATGGGGCTGGGGTATGATTTAAGGTGGGTCCGTACTTTTAGAATTTTCTGTCAAACTGATAATTTTTTTATTTAAATACTGTAGACGTACTTTTTTCCACGAGGTCATAATTCCGTGGAATCTCAATTTCTGTTTAATCTGCGGGTAGAAAATTACGCGGATTTTCTAGAAGGTCTCTATATACCTTACATTTATATTAAGTACGCGTGGACAAATTTCCGCAGAAAATTGATGACCACGTACATATCGTAAATTAATATCACACGGAAAAAAGTACTTCTACAGTACCTTAAATAAGTCTTAAACTAACTAAAACACCCATAAAAGACATATCTTTGCAGGTTAATTCTCTTACAACATGTCCCAGAGCACATGCCTCTAAAAACTCAACAGTCAAAATGGAACATAAAGGAGTACGATATCATATCTTATTTAGTTAGGCACAAAATCACATCAAATTTATGTTAAAACGTATGAAAATCAAAAACATTCATTTCCTAAAAGAATATTTGAAATCTTTATTGCAAAACATTAACAAATTGATGTTGAATCTGTCCATGTCTTTAAAAAAAATCTCAAAATATCTTTGTTATAATTCTCAAAATCTAAACTGTTCAGATGCCATTTTTCTTTAAAACTATTAATAATTATACCGAAAGTTAACAAAAATACAAACATTATTATGATTGACCAGAGAATTTTTATTCATTGAAAAAAAAATTTCAAAAACGAAAAATTAAGTGGATGAAATAGACTTAAAATCAATATAAATAAATCTCAAGTAAGTTTACTTCAAAAAAAGAAAATTAAAAAGCTTTAGGTCCATAAAAGCAATAAAGAGTTTTGTGCCTGTGTATGTACCAGATGACATATAGATTCTATGGGCATACATGTAGTGCAGTGTTAATTTCCATAAACAAGGTATATTAAATGCTTTGTATGCACAATAAGGCTATAATAAACAAATATATACTTGCTTAATCATTTTGAATCAGCCAAAAATTTTTTATTTCAATGGACATGCAAGTAAAAATCAGAATTTTATATTGGTGTGTAAAATTAAAACCGGGTCCGTAAAAGTATGGTCCTTCCTTAATCAACCACTATCTGGGGATGATTCTAAATAAAAGGACTGATTGTGTGTATTGTTTCTATTATTTGTTTTTAAGATTTCTAATAACCTGGCTAGATGTACAATGTATATATATTCCTTGAAAATCATGTGGGTTTTTTTTTGGCAAAAAAAAAAATCTTTCAATTAAGCTACATGCATATGGATTCCTTGGTAAAAATCTTTGAATCCACCTAATACTATTTGTATAACATGTTACTAGGTATATGGGCATTTGCAGATTTATTCTGATAAAGATAAAAATAAACAAAAATATGATAAATCTATTTATAAAGAAAAAATTCTGAATTATCAATTATATTAAGGTAACATCATATACATAAGATGTAAATTATTGATTTATAGGAGATTTTTTGCCATTGATTGGTTTTATTCATTGTATAAAAGGAAAAAGGAAAGACAACTCTTCAATAGAATTTAAAGAGTAATAATGTTTTGAGAGTAATCTCCCTTTCATAACTGTTTTCCATTTTTCATATTTTATACATAATCATATTTTTAAAAATCATAAGCTGGATAGGCTGTACGTTGCACAGCAAATTTGAAATTCTGTCTATCTACCCTATATGTATTCATTAGAAATACATTCTAACCTTCCAGAATTCCATCTTTAACAATAAAGACATGTTGATGGACTTCCAGTCCCCTTGTGGACTCTGTGATTTCACCGATATTTTGATTTTGCCCTCTTAATCGCTTCAGTAGCGTTGTTTTTCCAGCCTCAGCACATCCAACAAGTATTCCTCTGGCATGGGTGACAGTTGTCTTCTCCTTCCTCAGAAACTTCTTCAACTCATCCATATTAGGCTTATCTAAATCATCATTGCTTGCACCTGAAAACAATAAAGTCATATATACTTATTATAATTAGAATATCCCTGCCCCCTTTTTTTCAAAAACCAACCAGACTAAATAATCAAAAACTAGAAAACTGACCAGTCAGCAAGGGCCCCGCCATGGGGTAGAATTAAAAGGGTGCAGCT